CGAAGCCTAGAGCAGTGTTTTTCCTTTTTTAATATCTGAGCAATACTTCAATAGAGGGATCATTAAGTGCACCGATTTCCATTCTTTACAATAGGTGCTTGTACACAGCATCTTTCCAATCTATGGCTACATCAACTTCGTTGTTACAGAAACATATGTTGCTTACTTAAGATGGGAATGTACAAAAAGAATTCAATGTGTTTATAGCTGCCTTTATAGCATGTATTTCTGGAAATAAGGAAAAGACAGCAATATGACTAGTTAATCTTTGTCTAAGTGTTTCATGTGACTTCAGTGAGCCAATGAGATGTCTCAATTTCAGGGTCTTCAGTTTAAAGCGTGTCAGAGAATTTGCTGATGTACAAGACAACTTTACTTTGATGAAACAGAAACTAGCATTGATGTATTTTTCTCAATTAATAGTATTAATTCATTAAGTTTTATCTCCAGTGGTTGGAGGGTTTTTTGTGGACAAAGTTGGAGGTTTGTTTGAGATTTTTGTTTGTTTGTTTGTTTGTTTTTTTAAACAGTCATTGACCAGCAAATTTACTGCAAGGCAATATAAACTTCTTGCAACACTTTCTTCACTGATTTTTTTTTTTCCTTACAGTTTTGCTATATTCATTTCTTAAACATAAAGATATAGGCCAGACTGGGGGAAAAAAAATATCTTCCTACAGGCTTATTAACAGAATCACCATGAACAGCCCTTTTTACAGGCTTTATTTTCCTGTAAAAAGAAATCATTAGGAGTGAAAACCAGAAAAAAACTATACTTTGAGCAAATTTCTCTAGTTGTGTAAGTAAGGATCACTTAAAAGCTTTGAAGAGGTGGCATTGACTGTCGTCTTTTTTTTGTTTTTTTTATAATCACCTCTTAGCATTTAAAGCTTTTGGCTCTGTCAGGCCCAGGTTAACCAGTCTTTTTCAAGAATGTTCTCTCACTGGCATTGATGCAATGGACGGAAACGGAATAAAATTACTGAATCAAAGAAACAGGGTCTGGTGGTTTTGTGTTTTTTCCCCATCAGCCCATTCGCTAAATCTCTTGTTCTGGTTGCTTCATCTTGGGTTAGACATTGTTAGATGTTCTTCATCTTTTCTGGCAGCATTTGTGTAACCTGTCAGCGACATCAGGGGAGTGATCTTGTCCCATTCTTTGGTTCTGGGAGCCTCTCCTGCCACCTTTTACGGAAATTGCTATCTTATCACTTCATCTCTTCTGTGAACATATAGTGCATCTTATTACAGTCCAGCAAATCATCTAGATTAAAGTATTTGTGAAGTGGGAAAATTTTCATTTGGGAAGCAAATAGTTCAATTTTTGCCTGCTTTACTGAGAAGTTTTTAATTTATTTTTTTTCCCCAGAAGAAAAAAAATCTACTTGCCATTTCAGTTTACCATCTAGTATGTAATGAAAGGCAAATAATTATCACCAGAATTTTTATAGAACAAGCCAATATCTCCACCAGACACATAATCACTGTGGGTACTGACAAATAAAATGTCTCAGCTTTCAAAACAAGAAAAGACTCTCTTATTCTATCTAGCAAAAAGAAAAATTCCTCTGAGAAAAATGAATAGGCATCAGGCTTTAACAGGCCATTTTTTACTCACGGTGGAGAGTGAACTTTTATTCTTTGACTTTAAGTACTTGTCAGAAAGTATCTTTGAATTCTACCTAAATCACACTTTTTTTTTCCTTCTGATCGTCTTTCTAGAACCTCATTTTCACTAACTTGCGTAACTTAACCATCAAAGAGTTGTCCATCCTTTATTTATGAGCAGCTAAGACATTTAAGATGTCATCTGAAATGTCAGATACCCTGTGGGGGATACAAATAAAGATTTCTCAAATTGTATTAGGCCACGTAGTAAAGATGTTAAGGCTGGAATAACGTACTTGAGCTGTGGCAAAGGTCCATAACTTTCATCAAGTTCATTGTAGGACTGTTGAACTAATTTGCTCTCTTTGCCAGTTTGGGCCACAGCTACAGCATCACTGTGTATCTGCAGGCAGATTTACTATCCTGTTTCCAGTGAACCAAAGCCTGGGGAACCACTGGTCACTATGTCTAAAATATCATTCAAGTCATGTGCCCCTAAGTGTTTCTGTCATGTAGATTAATAACTGTATCATCCTGTTTTATACAGAGATGTACTGAGTTCACACCTCTGGAATGGACAGCTGTGTTTTTGTATATTAGAATATATGTATATATTTTTTTACTGTGATAGTTCCCAGATTAGGTCCTCATTATATTAGTCACTGGTCATGCATTGTGAGGAAAAACATTTAGAACTTGAAGAAATATACAATCTCAATAGCACAAATGGTTGATTTAGGGGTAGCAGTTCTGCAGTCCCTCTGTAGATTGAACTTCTTGCTGGAGATTTCCTCCTTGATAGATTCCCACAAGTACGTCTACGGGGAGCTTGTCTCAAAGAAGGTGAAGCAAAATCCCAAGAGATTTCCAGATAGCATTCCTTTTACAGCTTCAGCTCCGAGGATTCAGCACCACAAGGAGGTGCTTGTGCGGCAGTTCCCTGCTTTCCCAGTATGCTTTCCCAGAGTCTTACAAAGCTGAGGGAACTTGTTGGCATATCTCAGTCCGAGAGTGCAGTGCTCTCCAATAGGCTGTTAACTGGAGAAAAACTTCTTACACGTCTTTCTCCTAGCCTGAATCTTTTAAGCATGCTTTTAATTAATGTCATTAATTACTAAGGTAATCCATAATAATCCATTGCTCTAAGGAATAACTTTGTAACAGAGATTCTTGTTAGACTGTGAATACAATACTCACTTGTGGGTTGCTGATGTGTATAGGAATACTCACTATAAATGCACGTTATATATGTTTTCCTTAAGTTACTTATCTTTTTAAAATCCGAGTGACTCTTATATGAACAATTTCTGTCCTTCATTGGTATTAGTCTCTTATTTTCAAGTCGTTACTAAGCCTGCATCCCTTCTTTATAGACCATCTTTTCTTGGCTTCAGTCTAATAGAATAATGTCCCTGGGTAGGATGGAGCATTTCATTAGAAACAAACAACTTAAAATCCCTCCAAGAAGAAAAAGTTGATCAGCATTAAGATATATTACGGAAATCATAAACAGGACAGGTTTCTCAAAATGCTTCGAAGTGAATACATGGGAAGGACAATCAGTCTCCGCCCTTCTTGCTGTGTGGGGAAGCTCGGTCAGTTTGCATGCTTGGTGCAGGCCTTTGTT